GAGGGAGGAGGGAATGGGAGGGAGGGAAGGCGAGGGGAGGTGAGAGGGAGAGGAGAGGGAGAGGGAGAGGGAGAGGAGAGGGAGAGAGGGAGAGAGAGAGAGAGAGAGAGAGAGAGACGAGGAGAGGAGAGAGAGAGAGAGAGAGAGAGAGAGAGAGAGAGAGGAGAGATGAGGAGATGAGGTGGAGGGAGAAGAGAGGAGAGGAGAGGGAGAGGAGAGAGAGATGAGGGGAGATGAGAGAGAGAGAGAGAGAAGAGAAGAAGGAAGAGAGGAGAGAGGAGAGGGAGGAGAGAGAGAGTGAGAGAGTGAGGAGAGTAGAGGAGAGGAGAGAGAGGGAGACTGAGATCAGAGATGAGAGAGAGAGAGAGAGATGAGGACGAGAGAGAAGATGAGGAGAGAGGAGAGAGAGAGAGAGAGAGAGAGAGATGAGAGAGAGGTGAGGAGAGAGAGAGAGAGAGAGAGAGAGAAGAAAGCGAGAGAGAGCGAGGAGAGATGAGAGAGAGAGAGAGAGAGACGAGAGAGAGAGAGAGGAGAGAGGAAAGATGAGAGAGATCGGATGAGAGAGATGAGAGAGAGAGAGACGAGAGAGAGAGAGAGAGAGAGAGAGAGAGAGAGAGAGAGAGAGAGAGAGAGCGCTTACGTGCCTGTTTCACGTTTGCTTCAGTAAAGGCTGAATTTCATGACCAATACGGGAATGTCTTGGACGCCGATTTCATGACAGCCAAAGTGATATCTTATTGACCTGACATATTGCAGGCAGACAAAAGTCTTATAAAAACAGCTGACTCCCACGCAATGAAGACGTGTGATGGGCGCATGACATGAACAAAAGATAAGATGATAATGATATTGATTACAAAAAATAATGAAAATAATGAAAAAAATACTACCACTGATGACTGACGGTGACGGTGACGGTGACGATGATGACGACGATGAGGATGACGACAACGACGATAACAATGATGCAAAAAATATACATTTCACTCATATTCATTACACAAGCACCCACGTACACAAAAAACACGCACACACTTCTCTTCATCTCATCACTTTCCTTCATACATTCCTCTCCTATTTTCCCTTAGCTGTTCATCGGTATAACAGTATTCTAAGAACAGATGCACCTACTTTGCCCTATGCTATTTCTCATGCTTTAAGCTTCTCCTCAACGTAAAAGCTTTAGGGGTCAAAATCTATTTAAGGATGTGTTTGCGGTAATCTTGCTCATTAAGAGAGCATATCTGATACAATATGATGAGTATGTGGATTTTGTGCAACAAATGGATATACAGTTGTAGAAGTAATATAATAATGATGATAATAATAAATATCATTATTATTATTAGTAGTAGTAATAGTAGTAGTAGTTGCTGTTGTTGTTGTAGCAGAAATTGTGTTTTAGTAGCAATAGTAAAGGTGATGTTACTACTATTGGTAGAAGCAGCAGCAGTAGTAGTAATAGTAATAGCAATAGCAATAGTAGTGGGAGGAGGAGGAGGAGAACAGTTGAAACCGTAGTAGTAGTTGTAGTAGCGGCAGGAGATAATGGAAGTGGTAATAATAGTAGTAGTAAAAGCAGAACAGCAGCAGCAAATGGCGTAGTTGTAGAGGAAGAAGGAAAACAACAAAAATGAGAAACGCGAGAAGTTGGAGCAGCAATACCAGTAGACCCTTCATCGCCCGCAATAAAAGTAGAAGCAGGTATAGAAGCAACAGCCCCTTTACAGCTGAAAACTCCGCCGGCAGAGGAGGCCCTCGCGCCCGCCACGAACGGAAATAGCCCCGGCGATGGGCTACGGCGAAGGGCTAGCCATGGGCAGTCGTGATGATGGGCGGCAGGGCGCAGAGGCTATCACAATGGAACCATCAACATCGGACACTAAACCTTTTTTATGGAGCTTGTTATGGCCGCCGACGAACAGGTGCGAGCTCTCGTGTTCTGATGACCCCTCACATTAAGGTTAAAAGGTCATATGTGCACACATACACGCAAACACACCCGTACATGTCTCGTGGCCTTGGCTGTTTGTAGTGTGTGTTTCTCGCTATTAATATGTCCTCCCCTTTCCTTGTTTCTCTCTACTATTATGTCCTCTCCTGTCCCTGTTCTCTGTATCACTATGTCCTCTCCTGCTCGTGTTTTCTCTATTAATATGACCTCCGTCTCTCTTCTCGTTCCCTCTGCTTTACGTACCGTTAAATCTTATTCATATATCTACCCTATATTCTTTGTCTAGAATACTATATCCGTCTAATATATATTCTTTAATTCATATTCGTAAATACCTTTCCATTATCTACTGTGCCTGTTCCGCCGTTTCCTTTTCTCTGTACATCAGTATGGTTACCAGACGCACGTATTATGTCTCGCACACATAGAACAACTTGAACAAAGGCCGTCATTCAAACAGTCGCAGATAGATAGATGACAAAATATCCATTGTATCATAAAATCTCTCTCTCACTGTCTGCAAATACGAGCATTCAAAGTTAAATTCTCTCTTGAGTTTCGAAAGAGCATTACATTTCGGATCCGCACTTCTTCTGTTTTAGCAAGGATTGTGTCTTTATTTTCTGTCAAGTCTGTGCTTTATCGCCTTCTATCTCTTTCTTCCATTTTCCTCACCAGCAGAGCAAAGGAAGCGCTAAACAAGAAATTAGAGAAAAGTCAGGAAGGTCAAGGGCAACACGCGACGAGCCACCGCGAGAAGGCAGAGCGCACACATTGTAATACAGTTCAGCAAAGGCGTAATTGTGATTGTTCCCTTTGTGCTTTTGTTCCTGCTTGACGGAGGAGCATCAGGCGACTGGAGATGAACATGGGCTTTAATTGGAGTCATTCGCTTATCTTGATCCGGATATTAATAAACCTGTTTATGTTCAAGTGCATACTGATACACATACATATACACACACACGCACGCAGGATACACACACACACACCACACACACACACACACACACACACACACACACACACACACACACACACACACACACACACACACATATATATATATATATATACTCATACATACATGTATAAGTATATATCCCATATCATATACATATACATATATCACATATCACATATCACATATCACATATCACATATCACCACACACACACACACACACACACACAAATATATATATATATATATATATATATATATATTATATATATATATATATATATATAAATATATATATTATATATATATGTATATACATTCATATTTATATATACATTCCTTCTGCCCATTTGTGCGTCCTTCCTCTCCCCCGTCTCCTCCCACCTTCTTCCCCTATTTCAACTTATTCCCTTTTTCTTTATTTCTCCTCTCCTTCGGCACTTCCTTCCTCTCCTCCCTCTCCTCATTCTTGCAATCTCTCTCTTTCCTCCTTTCCTTCTTCTTTCCCTCTCCTTCCTTCCTCTCCCTCTCCTCTCGACCCCCTCATCCTTAGAGGAAAATGGTGGAGGAAGCGAGAGTCATTTTCCTGTAAATGACTGATGCATCTCACACGAGGAGGACTACAGGTGAAACAAACAAATGTCGCCAGATCCACATATTCGAGAAAAAAAATGTTACCACATCCAAACGACTGAAATGGATGTTGCCAGCTTCAAATATTCGATCTTTTTTAATTACATCCACATGACTGAAATGGGTGTTACCAGCTTCGCATATTCGATCTTTTTTTAATTACATCCACATGACTGAAGTGGGTGTTGCCAGCTTTACATGTTCGCGAAAAAAAATGTTACCACATTCACCTGCCTAGAATGGGTATTTTCCGATCCACGTTTCCAGATCCATTAATAGCTGCTACTGGAATGCCAGGTCCACAAATTCCAAACAAATATTATCAGATCCTATGCCACGGTACAGTTACTATTATATTCACAATTTGAAAAAAAAACGGCTAAAATTAAATCTTAAAAAATATATGTTGCCAGAACCAATTCCTTGCCACAGGTATTGCCAAAACCAAACCTAAAAAAAATGTCATAACCGATTCCTTGAAACCGCTATTAAGAGAAACAAATTCTCGAAACTGATAGCAACAGACCCAACTCTTCGAAACAAATATTGCCAGAACCAAATCATCGAAAAATAAACATTACCAGAACCAAAACCTAGAAACAGGTGTTACCAGAACCAAATCCTCGAAAAAACAACAGATATTGTCAAAACCAAATCCTCGAACAGCTGTTGCCAGATCCACATCCTCGAAAACAGGTGTTGCCAGATCCAAACGGCAAAAGGCCAGCCTGATCTCCCCGCACTCGGCACGTCTCTCGGCCATTTCGACAGCTGATGCGTCACCCTCCGGAGGCGCGGAGGTCCATGCTCTCAGAGCGATGGCAATGCTGAGTAAAAGAAGCAACAAGGAGACGGCGAAAAGGAAAATGGAAAAAAATACAGATGATAATGGAGAGAGTGATGGTTGGAAAGAAAATGGAATAGGAAGACGAAGCGAACATCAAGAAGGCCGGAGGCGAAGGCGACCCTGCAGGTGGTGTCGATTCCCACGCCTTCGCCAAATGTATGGAAATGTTATGCCGGGAAGCGATTGGCGGGGTGCCTGTCCTCACGGCATCGGAGGCCGGATTAAAAAGGTTGCGAATACAAGTTCTACACATACGCACAAACACACACACATATAAATATTTGCACACACACGCACGCACACACAGATATATACTTAACTTATACACACTTTTATATATATGTATGTACATAAGGCATAAGTAAAGTTACATCTTAGTACCCGTCGCGCCAAGCTGCTTGGGTCGACCCTATTACCAGAACAAGTATAATGAATCCGAGCTGAGCTGATTAGGTTCTGCACTTGTAAGGAAAAAGACCAGATAGCTCCTAAGATGTATTTTTCTCCTGATTACTGCGCATGTGTGTGTTACTTTAGTTCATGTTGTACTGACATCAGATGTCTTTCGCAGATTTGTCTCCTCATATTTGTACAGAATGTTCAATGGGTATGGGATCCAAAGCAAAATAAACGTACAGTCATCAAAGGTTATATAGCACTAGATGAAGGTGTAATACAGAAAAGGGTTAAGAGGAGGATGAGTTGATAATATGTGTATGTGTCTCAGATTCCCGATTGTATCACGCATTCCTGTTTCTCTATTATTACTATTATCATCCTTATTCTGGTATATTTCCAATGGCTATGCTAATTTTGGCACATCTAATTTCCTTTATTTTCGTGTTAATACCTGAAGTTTTGTCATTATCTGATATGGATGTGTGAAAACAATAAGAGTTGCTTTAAACAGCTATACGAATAAGTAACATGCGAGGTCACATGAAATGCAACACGATCAAATGATAAATCGTGATATCTCAAGCCCAAATAGACAAGAAAATAATAATAATATTAAAACTTTAATATTAAAAGACAGTATTAAAACTTTTAATACTGTCCACACTTTAACAGAAATCCCGAGAAGAAAAAAATGAGGAATGAAATACTGCATTTCAAGTGAAAGCGTGGGCTCGAGACTATAAATTAACGTTAGTTCTTACTACTATATTGAGTGTATTTACCCCCCCCCCCAAAAATGCTCTAAAAATACTAATCACACATATGCAAGAATTGTGATTTCAAAACAAAGTAAACACTGAAAAAAAAGAAAAACATGAAAAGAAACAAATTCCATAGCCTTATTCCTCTGATATTTTTCTAATCCGGTAATTTTGCATTCGTTTACTTTCACGTGTGGTTGCTTGGGGTGTGGGTGTAAGTACAAAGTGCACGTATGCAAAAGGATGGATGGGAATGAATGGGACGCGTCTATGTATTTACGATCATACGGGTGTATATATATGTATCGCATATGTACATACACTTACTCAATTCAGGCTGTTTGTCTTTGCACCTGTGAGTGTAAGTGATGTATATGTGTATGGTGTGAAGTGTCAAGTAGTGAGTGAGTGAGTGAGTNCTCTCTCTCTCTCTCTCTCTCTCTCTCCTCTCTCTCTCTCTCTCTCTCTCCTCTCTCCTCTCTCTCTCTCTCCTCTCCTCCCTCTCTCCCTCTCTCTCTCTTGTTTATATTCATATTCATTGACTCAGTGAGTGTAGTTATGTGTATATCATCATTATCTGTTTATGTATTTATTACCATTAGTTATATATTTATATATATATTTTTTTCTTCATAGGATTCAGCCGCACAACCATAGAACTCTTGAACAAATATGAAGCAGATTTCGCCAGCTTTGACATCCTCACGGATGAGGAAGTGCGACAAGGACTCAAAACCTATTCAAACTGGCCAACTTATCCGCAGGTGAGTCCGTGACTTCTCCTTTAGTTTAACTTGCATTTGGGTGTTTTAAGTGAATGAGTTGAGTGAGTTGAGTGAGTGAATTGAGTGAGCTGAGTGAGTGAACGAACAAGTGAACAAGTGAACAAATGAACAAGTGTGTGTGTGTGTGTGTTTTTTTTTTTTGTGTTTTTGTGTGTTTGTGGAGGGGGGGCACACACTGGCGCAATTTTGTGTCTGTTGCACATGTTTGTATGTATTTTTTTTCCCTTACTCGCCTTTGTTTAAATGACAAAATAGAACTAGATATTATCCACTCTCAAAGGCTGATCCAAAGTGTATTGTGTCCCTGCAGCTGTACATTGATGGAGAGCTGGTGGGTGGATTGGACATCCTTAAGGAGATGGATGCCTCGGGAGAACTGGAGCCAATGCTGCCAAAGAAGAAAAAACTAGATGACAGGTAAGTTAAAACAAGTATGTAAGTCTCTGTAACTGTTTTTTCCTTGCCTATACTTTTCTTTTTTTTTCCTCTCTATGTGTTTGGCTTATTTTTATCTTTTTTTTTCTTCCTTTTCTGTTACTTTCTTGTTTGCCATTGGCATTGGCATCATCTTATCATCATCATTCTTCTTCTTCATCTTGTTGCTTTTATTCTCTTATCTGTTCTTCCAATATTTTCACCCTGTCTTGCATATTATATAAAATAATTTTTGCAGTAAACAATTTGATATTTTCATTCTTTGTTATTATTTATATTGATCAATTGCCTTCCTTTTCCTCCTAGGCTCAAGGAACTGATCAACAAGGCTCCCTTAATGGTGTTCATGAAGGGAAACCGGGAGGAGCCAAGATGTGGCTTCTCGCGCACCATGATCGGAATTCTAAACGAAACAGGGTGCGTAACCAGAGTACTTTGAAGATGAGGCTGGAATTTCTGAGAATGCCTAATGAACTTTGGTAGAATGCCTTTTGGCTTTGTAAGAGAATAGGTATACCATTTTATTAAAATCCTTTAATGATTTTCTTTAGGATGCAGAGCTTTCTTAGAATGCCGTTGTATCTCTCCTAGAATCATGGAGTTTTGTACAATAGCTAAATTTTTTTCTTTAGTATCTAGAGTTCCATTTGGAATGTCTTTGAATTCCTGCACAGCTTTCCTACTATTGATCATTCACACTAAGAAACTTAATACAGGTATTTTGAAAATTTGTACGGCATGATATGTTGTGGAAACCAAATGCAATTAGGAGGAGCCTTATTTTGATTTTTTAATATTCATTTTATCCTGTTTTAATACAAACTCATATTTTGCAGGTTGTCTTACGAAACTTTTGATATTCTGACTGATGAGGAGGTACGTCAGGGTCTGAAAACCTACAGTAATTGGCCTACTTATCCGCAGGTAAGTAATCATGATGTTTATGTTATTTTCTTATATGTTTCCCCTAAGACTTCTTACTAGTCAATCATTGCCTCTTGAAAAAAGATACATATGAATGATTGATGTTTTGATTTTACAATACTCACCATATATGTAAAATTTAGATTTCAGGAACTTCTTATTCATCTTCAGTTGCATCTTTCTCAGAATCTGTCAGATTGCCAACCTAAAGACTGTATTGTGTATTGCTTTTGATTGGCTGCACATAACCCAAGATCTGGACATTAGGCTTATTTTAGTGGTGACTCTGGTGTGTGGCTTGTAGGCTTGGCCCACAGGAGCACTTTTGTGTATTATCAAGACTCTTTGCCTCCCCTTTGCAATGTTTTTACTGCATTAACATTTTTTTTTTTTTTTTTTGGCAATTTTCTAAGGTCTGTATTTGTTATATGCAGTATCAAGAGAGCAATAGACTGTTTTCCTTGCACAGACTTCATAGCTTTTCTCTAGGTATTCAATAACTCTTTGCAATAAGAATAACAATTAGTAACATTTTGTTAGTTTTGTAATTTTTGATGTTTTTGTATTCATTTTTTTGTGACATACCATGCACAGGAATAGGGACCTGAGCATGGAAGTAGTTTCGTCTCTGATGGTACATTTCACCCTCGATTATTGGTGCAAATAATGCAAGAGCCCCTACCTAACTGTCCATAGAGTTTATGTCCACTCATGACAAGTCATTCCCATCACTCTGGCCTTCAGCTTAATTTTTCATGAAAGCATATTCTTGTCATCCCAGGCCTCAAAAAAAAAAAAATCCCTGTTAGTATATTTCTATCTTATGGCTCTTAACCAATTTTTTTTTTATAATGTAACAGTCCTGACACCTGGCTTCATTGGGTTTCAACAAATTTTTTCCCCCTTTTGTCAACAGGTATATGTGAAGGGTGACCTGATTGGTGGGCTGGACATAGTCAAAGAACTGCAGTCTTCAGGAGATCTCATGGGAGCTCTCAAGGGAGAATAAATAAATTTATAAATAAATGAAGAAGCAAATAAATAAATAGAGATAAAAAAGAAAGATAATCACAGGGAAGGGAATATGAGTGACAGAGATTGGACAGCATTTTCATTCAGTTTTGGGAACCAATTCTATGAAATTAAAGGAACCAATAATGTTTACAATAAAGACATTAAAACATTGGCTTATTAGGAAAAGGATAAGAGGCATTTTGTATTCACATTTGGTTCAGTGATTTGTGTTATGATCAGTCATTGCTTTTGAAATGGAATTTTCATGCTACAGTAATGCTATAGAGAAGCAATTGTAGGTGAAGAACTAGAGTTAGAAAAGAAATTCTAGAACTCCCTGGTACAATGGCATGTCAAGCATTGCAGATTCCTACATCCTAAGAAATCATTCCCATTCTCCTTATCAGTAAAATATTTTAAAAATGTACTGTATTGGTTTTATTTTTCCACAGATGCCATGATTTTGGTATAGTTTCTGGAACAAAACATCCTTTTTTCTCTTTAAACCTCCCTCAATCCCTTGCCTGGTGCTTTTTTTGGGGGGGGAATGGGGCTTAGGAGATAGAGACCGAGGCTCAATGTAGAGGATCGCCCCTACCTTGGGCCTCAGCTCTCGCCTAAACTAATCTTGCACAGTCCTTTCTTCTCCTCCTTTTTTTCCTTATCTTCCCCAACTCCTGTCCAGTTCTAAGGCGTGAGAGCTGTGCAGAAAGGATGAAAGGCTGACTTTATGCCAGCCATGAACGGCTTCAGGGAGTCATGGGCATCATATTCCCTAGGTTAATTGTCTAGCCCTTACCCTTCATGGGGACCTGAGGGGTGGACTGTTTACTTCCCAACTTATTTCAGGTTTGCCATGGCCAGTAAGGAAGATCTTGTACTCTTAGTAGGGGTATTGAGGCTTATTAGGGGTATTGTCAAGTAGCCTCCCTAAGTCTAACTTTTCTAGTTTACCAGCCTTGAATCCCACTTGGTCATGGCTCTGACCACAACTTTTACACCCCCCTCGTCAACACTTGCTGTCAACTCAACCCATCCTGAATCACCTACCCAGATACCTAGTCAACCTCCAAAAGACACCTCTTCCTCAACCCCAGTATCGTACACAATCATTGCCATTTCCTACATCCTCTTCCCTTATTACAACTCTTGAACCTTATTGCCTTCTCTGTCACAACACTACATTACTCCCTCTTCCTCCTGCCTTCACCCTTTTACAATTCCCACCTCTACAACCCTTTTGAGTACTCTGTTTGGCCCAGCCAAGTTGGATAATTTTTTTGTGATTCCCCTACAGCCCTGTACTCTGACAATACCCTTTTTTTCCAACAATGCATCCAAAAACATGTAGGCAAGGTCTCCTTCCACATTCGTCCTGATCATTCACACTTTGTCACAGTTACATCAGAATCCCAAGCCCATGCATTCTCTACTTTGGTTGATGTCACTGGTAAACCCATTCCTGCTCAACCTCACTCCTCCCATAACACTTGTACTGGAACTGTTTCTATCTCCCCAGCTGATTGCCCTGTGTATGACAAGAATTGGTCAGACTGTGTAGACCTACTTGCCTGCCTTACTATGATGCAGTATCAGTACACTGCAACACTATTTCTCCTAGAGCCTGCTATAAGTTCCACGTCAACATTGCTAAAATTTCTCTCTTTAGACATGGTATTCCCCACAAGGTCTATATCAGTGAAGAATATTGACCTTCCCCCCACCCATCAGTGTCAAAAATGCTAGCATTTTGGCCACCCTGCAAAACACTTGCTCTACAGCTCAATGCCCTGTATACCCTCAATCTGGTTATGACCATTCATATTGCCTTGCACAATCATGTACATGTGCCATTTGTGGTGGTTCACTTAATGTATTTTATAGAAGCTGATCTGCCTACAAGTTTGAATATGAAGTAGCAGTTCTCAGATACAAACTTGACCAAACTCTTTCTATAACCATTCTCCATCAGATTTTCCAATCTGCAGTAACACCAATCTCCTTATAGACTACCAACTACAGCTTTCTATTTTCTTCCTCAAAAACCTTTTCAATCCTCTTTACTCATTCATGTATAGGCTCCCAATGGCCACTAATACCATACGATGCACCCATCCAACACTGCCCCTCAAGCAAGTTCCTTGGTGTCACTTTTGACTCAAAACTGTCTTATTGAGATCATATCCCCTCTGTTAATGAAAAAGCCTGCCTCCGCCTCAGACTATCCTGAGGTTCAGCCTGCAAAACACTCCTCCATTTCCATATTACCCTAATCCTCTCTACCTTTGATTAAGGCTGTCATATATATTTTGTCTTCTGATCCTCTTCAGTAGAGAGCATATATACTCATTGAGGCTTAACATCCCTTTCTTGACGTCATGCTCTTTTGTCCCTAAGTTGCTATACTTCATTCACCCATTCCTCATCTCGGATCCCCTCCTCTTTCTTCCCAATCTTTCCCTCCTTGGTTAATACCTGCCTCCTGTAATTGCTCTTCTATTTTACCGGATCCAAATTGACCATCCCGCCACCTGTCCTCCTCACACACTTTGCACATATCTCCAATCAATCCTCCAGTACCCATGTCTATACAGACGGCTCTAAATCCACCACTGGTTTTGCTGTAATCTTTCCTTCTCACTTGTACAGCTTCCCCCTTCCTCCTGAATCGAGTATCCTTACAACATAACTTTACAAATGTCATCCATCCACTCCTTATCCTTCACCATCTGCATGCATCTCAGTATGACTCATGCACCATATCAACCTCGTAGTTCAAATGATACAAGACCTGTTGTTTTATCTGTCTACATGGCAGAAAGCTGTCAAATTGTGCTGGATACCCAGCCATGTCGGGATCCCTAGCAATGAAAAAGCAGATGCCTTAGCATGATATGCCATCCTATCCACAGCCCACCAACCCTGCTTTTCACATTCCAGCCACTGAATACTACCCCTACTTCAAAACTCCTCTATCACCTCATGTCACTCTCCAAGCCACCTCTATGCTCCTCATGCAGTATTTCTCTTGTACTCCCACATATCCTACTATCCTGCCCCCAGTTTACAAAATCCCATGCCCTTGATTTTTTTTTTATCCTCCATTCCCTGACCCCCAACCTGTTGAACATCCTCTTGAAATCCCCCACCTTTTCAACTGACAATCTGTTCTCCTATCTCAGATGAATAACTGCCCTCCATATGATCTAACCATCCTTTAGCCTAAACCCTTCCCCCTTTATAAATCCCTGTCCTACCCCATTTACTCAATATTCACTACCATACTATCTTACTATATCATAAGTCTGATCTAATAAAGACCTCCTTTAGACCTCTTTTATCACAATACTTACCAACAGTGCTACATGACCTTTGATGAGAAGGGTATTTATTTGTTTAAAGCATTAACCCAAGTGCATTGATATTAAATTAATATATGCATGTTTGATACAGTACCAGTAGGTTTTTATTTTGGTAAAGTAATTGGCAAAGTTGAAGCTGTTATTGTTATGAAACATACATTTATTAATAGCATTAATGGTCACAAAAATAAAGCTGACATCACTGTTGCTAGAAATAAAAAGTTTATTTGAATTTTTATTTTTTTATTTCTTATTTTTTATTAAGTTTGCAAGGGTGAAATTGTGTTGTAGCTAATGTTTTTATTGATATTAAAGGTCAGATACAGTAATACAGAGGTGTCAAGGATGCTGAACAACAAGTATGTCCTTACAAACATTTAGGAGAAAAAAAATGTATATGTCATTGGCTGTTTATTTCATTATGTAAACAGGATAAAATTTATACTAACAATAAACACCTAACAGTAACATATTAATATACAGGTGAAGGAAACAAGTCATGAAATGTTCAGTAGAGAGAATATACTCTAATAATAATAATGATAATAATGATAATAATAATAATAATAATAATAATAGTAATAATAGGAATAGTTATAATAATATCAATTATTATTATAATTATGATATCAAGAGATGAAAGGAATTCAACCTAGTCATTATATTCAAAGACACTTCTACAGCAAGATGTATGTACAAATTATACAGATTTAATGGCTTTCCCTTTGAGTCTGCTCAGATACCGTTTTGTAAATGGCAAAATGTCAGTGTGCTGTCAGAGGAGTTATGAACCACTACTTTTTGAGTGATTTTATGGTTGCTTGAGCTTGGACAGGTCAGAGGACATGCTACAACACAGGTCCAATGGTAAGCCCAATGTTATTTCTTTTTTATATATTTGAGCATGAAGGAACGATGGAGGAAAATGGATTCAAAGGAAGAAATTAAGATCAGTACATGGAGAGAAAAAAAAAGAAAACGTATGAATAATTGAGAGGTATGTATATCCCAAGGAAAAAGGAAGAAAGGAAAGGTTAATTTCCTTTTTGTTTTTTGCCAGTCTGATATCAATCAGACATTTTTACTTTGCAGTATGGATCAGATCAGTTTGTGAATAAATAACAGTGCTGACCTATATAGAACAGGGATGTCATGATACTACAAATGAAGTTTCTTAACATTATGAAGACTACCAGTTTTGAGGTTCATTAGAATCATATTTTCTTATAACTTACACTGTAGACATTGAGATTAAATTGTTAACCGATATAACATAGAGACACACAGGCCAGTCTACCAATGAATTAAAAAGTAATCTGCTGATACTGATTGAAATTACCAGTGGATGAGGTGGACGGTTTCTTGTACTGATGAAGTTTCACTCATTTTTGTAATGCAACAGTATCTGCAAGCTCAAAATTCATAAAGCTCCTGAAAATTTTAGAAATTTGTTGAATTGGATACATTTCTGAATTGATTACGGAGTGAAAACCAGCTTTTTTATGTTCTGTTCACCTTTTTCCTGTAACCACTGGATAATAGCCTCCTGATTGTAAAGTTTACAGTTTTTACTAAAATAATACACAAGAACTTAACCTATTGTTGATTTACAGAGAATGACAAGAATTTGATGTGTTAACAGGTTAGCAATGTCACGCTGGTCAGAGAACTACCACAGAAGAAAAACTATTACAGAGGACTCTCACAGTGAAGATTCTGGAAGGACATATACCTCTTGTTACACCTCTTAAACATAGGCTTAAAGGCATATCAGAGACGGGTTTTACAAATAATGTTTAAATTTGATAGACCCACGTTTCCAGTTTTGTGACTTTTACCCAACAGAAAGGCCGGCTTAAGAAATAAATCGTAATCCTGATGCTTTCTGAATGATTTTAGTGAAAATAATGTAGTAGTCTGCTATGATGATGAAGGTCCTAGCATTCGCCTCACACATAACTGTTCTTCCTCCTACAGGAAATTATCTTTCTCATAAATTCTTTTGTGCTAACGCTAACTTGTTATACATATTATACATAAGCAACCCTTCTACAGCAGCAGTCACGCGTCAGCTAGGCCTGAGGTGACTCTCTTCATCTGCGGAGGGCTGTGAGCCGAGGGCGCCGTCGTCGTCTGCAAGGGCTTCCTCAGCTCCTTCTCCAGGTGGGAAAGCTCGGAGAGATACTCGAACGGATGCGAAATCTGGACGTCGTCTCGGGTGCTTTGGCTGCCGGGCTGTCTCTTAGTGAAGAAGACTGCTCTGGGCACACTGAGGGTGTCCTTGGCCAGGGCCTGGGCCGGGGCGCCGCCACTGTCCCCCTGCTGGGGCAGAAGGGGTTCGGCATGCGGCAGCCGCTCCTGGAAGAGGTAGGAAAAGGCTGCGGGGCTCGGGTAAGCGTCCAGGGACGGAGCGTCAAGCGGAGAAGAAATGACTGGCGACCCGTGGGCTTCGCGGCTAGGCCGGGGCAGAGGGGGGTTGGGCAGCTTCAGAGTTGGCCTGACACCACCCTCGGAGCGGTAGTCGTCTCCGACCGCCATGTCGTGAATAACACCATCGTCGTAGTAGTAATATTCATACTCGTCATTGTCTCCTACGGGTAAAAGCTCGTATTCTGTTACCATCTGCGTGCTAGGTTCGGGGGTTGTGTCTGTGGGGGTTACATCGGTAGTGGTGTCTTCATCTACAAGAAAGGGTGAGGTGGAAAGGGTGGAAAGGGTGGTAGTTGCAGTAGGGGGAGTTGCGGTGGTGCTGGCCATAGTGGTGGAAGTGACTGTGCTAGTGGTGGGAGTAGAGGAGGTGGTGGTAGAGGTGGAGGAGGTAGTGGTGGAGGTGGAAGGTGAACTGGTGGAGGTGGTGTTCTCCGACGACGTTGGTTTGTAAGTCGAGAAGATCACATGGTCATTAAAATCAAAGCCATCCTGAGATTTATCTTCTGCGGAATTGATACCGAAGACCCTGACCTTAGAATGACCTTGGTGAATAATGTAAAGAGGCGACGACAAGGATTTGGAACCAGTAAAGATTACTTCCAGATCCTCAAAGTTTGTCTTTTCAGGCTGACTGTCGGCAACTGGAGAGGGCCTAGAAGTAGCGCTCGAGGAACTGACAACCCTCACCGTCGAACTCTCTCTAACAACGCCCTTAGATTCATGGGAGTCCTTGCCCTCAATGATGACAACGTTGGGGCGCACCTGCGGACGGGCGTATTCAGGACTGGCCTCCGAGTCTGAAAAGAGGTATCCGTCGAGGGAATTCGTGTCAGCCACGGCGTCGAAGAAATTGCCCTGCTCCTTCTCCGTCACCGCGGTCTCTGTCGAGGGCTCATCTGCAGGAGCTGGGGGCGTGGTGTACCTCAGACTGCTTGGGAAGAAGGTCGACGGGGTTGTTGGAGGTTCCTCGGTCGGCCGAGTGTATCTGAACTCCCTCAAGGTTACAGGGTTATCAGTGGCGCCCCTCTCCCTGGGTGAGTCCGTCACTTGGGTGTAGCGGAATATCTGCAAGAGTTCCGAGAGGCTGTTGGCGGTGAGGCTGGTGCTGGGCTTGTAGGAGTTCATGTGGTCATCCAGGTGAGGATTGTGGATGTGTTCGCCTCTCGTCACCCCTCGAGGGACGTAGGAAACAGGGCCATAAGGTTTGTAATGGATCTTTTCATCATTAGTGTGGGTCTCGGGGTGAATGTACGAGGCTATAGATGGCTCCCGCTTTCTGTTTGGTGTCTCAGATCGTGTTTCGATGAGGAACCACGACCGGGTCGAGCTTGGGGAGACTTCATCATAGTCGTTCCCGCCTCTTCTTGTGGGCGTTCGGCCAGAACTGGTTCTTGTGGTGCTGGAGCGACGGTTGGGCAGGTTTCTGAAAAAGGTTGGCGGCAAGACTTTGCGAATGTTTGATGCTCCCGCAGAATCAGTGGCAGATCCTAAGTAAGGAGCCTCTTCAATTTGGGACTCAGGATTATGATTACCCAAGAGCTCGTAGAGAGCCACTCTGGATCGCGTCCTGTCGGTCTCTCGATTTCCTGTATAATCCTGTCGACGTATCACGCTAGGCCTTTCTTCATAGTCTCCTGAAGAATATTGGAAGATGTGGCCAGGTCGGCCCCTGACCATCGTGGGGTGGATCTCCGAGAACGCCCCATCCATGTCGTCCTCGTAGTTATCGTCGTATGCTGCGCTTTCTGGAAACTGAATCTTTCCCCCGCCCTTTGCGAAGTCATCTGCTCGGTCGGCAAACCCTGGCTCCTTGTCAGTGGCGTTCCGGTCCTCTGAGCTTATCTTCGGAGAGCCAGAAGTCTCTGTCTGCTCCTCGTCCTCCCCGAACTGTGGCGCCGACATGAAGCGAATCGCCCCGACAGTCTGCGACGGAGACCGGAAAGCTCGAATGATGTTGGTCTGCGGATGGATGTGGAAGTACTCGATGTTCTCCGTGCCGTAAACAGAGTCGTACTCGGGCTGTACCTTCTCTGACCGTACGACGAACACCGGCGGGTTCTCGGGCCTCACCGGGTACATGGGCTTCTTGGCCGACGGTTCGGCGCTGAAGTGGACCTGCGTGAGCGGCGGAGGCTGGTAACCGACCGTAGGATCGTCAGCCATGGGGTTGCTGACGTCTAGGGGATACCAGCCGTCAAAATCGTACTGCAGACTCCTCTTCATCCGACTGGCCTTGACAGTGGGTTCTCCTCTCTGTCCTGGAAGGGTAATGTCAATATAGTAAATGGGAGAATCTTTCTTAGCCGAACTTATTTCTGTTTGTGGAGGGATTGCCTGTGACTTATTTTCTACAGCCGGTACTGATGTTGGGAGAGACGGCTGCATGTTAAAAGGGACAAAATATATATGATTAACATTATTTCGATCTGGAGGGAAAGTTGACGGATAGTTGGATAAAAGATTCTGTCTCGAAAATAAATTTGGATCGTTAAGTACAGGGCTGTTAGTATGACCATTTGCATTGTCAAGCGGCAAGGGCTGCATGCGTGTCATGGGACCGCCGTCAAACATCCCATTCCCAAAAGCAGTGTTAGTATTCCCTAGTCTCTGCATGCGAAGAATGTCCTGTATGGAACTGGGTCTCCCAGCACTCTCGGGTGGGAAAGTCTGGAAGCTGGTGTCCAGCTGGCCGACTCCTTCCTGGGCACTCGGAAAAGCAGAGTCATAGTCGAAGGTGCCAGGACTATCCGCACCCAGATCTAAGTCGTCATTCTTGAAGTCCCGGGAGAAAGAGGTAGACGCATCGGGGACGTCGGCTGCGACGTCGGGCTGCGTGTCGGGGACGGCCGCGGCCGTCTCGATCCCGCCGGGGCCGATGCTGATGTCCCCGTTGGACTTCATGTTGATCTCCAGGATTGGGATATCCTGGAGTTCTCTGGGAATCTGTATGTTAATGACGCGCGTTCCTTGTTTCTCATTGGGAGCAGGCAAGAGAGAGGAAGCAGAAGGAGGGCTGGTTAGTATGGCAGGCGTGGAGGTCGTCTGAGAGAAGGTTTTGGTTGTCCCGATGTCGGAGATCGGCGAGGGCGTCTGCGTGCTGGCGTCGGGGGAAGGCCGCTGCCCGCTCACGATGGAGGCGGGCTTCAGCGTACCGAAGTCGGTAGAAAGGGAAGGGTTGTCAGTAGAAGTAAGGGAGGGTTCCTTGGTAGTCCTCAAGGAACCCTGCAGGAAATCGTTAGAGGAGCCGCCACCTTTCCCCCCTCTCGGGCCAGACGAGAGAGGCCTCTTGCTACCCCCGGCCCGAAAGCCTCTGCCACCCGAGCCAAGAGCATGCTTGTTCCCGCCACCACCTCTAAACCTACTCCCGGGCCTCGGTAGGTTCCTCTGGAAGTTGTTCAGCATCATGCCGCGGAAGGGAACCAGCCTCTGCTTCATGACATGCCGGACGCCTCTCAGGCCGCCCATGAAATAAGGCACCGGGTTCATGGCATCGAAGGCCATGGAAAGCATGCCACGCCCATTGGGCATCCCCTGCCGTCCCGACGCCAGTAAGATCTGGGACTCGCTGTTAAAGTCCTCCAAAGCTGCCGCACCTGTTGCCGCTATCGCCGCCGCCGTCGGCCGCTCCACCGCCGATTCGGCCGGACCCTCCGTCGCCGCCGCCGCCGCGGCCACCACCAGCAGCACCGCTACAGAACGCCACGACGCCAT